TGAGTATAAACTCAGTCGCGTCCGTCACAGTTGTGCGGCCTACTGGTCTTATGGTGGACTAAGGTTGGCACTCTCGTTTAGCTTTTCAGTACATTGCACCAGGGAAGGTCTAACGGGCAGCGTTTGATGAGACGTTTGGCGGTGTAGTGAAAGTACGAGTACTTACGATCCTTTTCAGACTCCTGACGAAGACGAATTGTTCGAAACATTAACCTGGTTTCGGCACAAGAAAATCTACACAATGTTTGCTTTTACTTTCAAGTCTCAAAACTTATATCGTAGAAAAGCAGCGATAAAAGGTTTGGAGTGTGAAATGTATTGAGTTACTTTGGGGTAATGAAATTTATAATAATGGAAGTGGAATGAATTGACTCTGTGCTGCCGTACAAGAGGAATTCTCCTTTTCTCTTACCTTACTATAGATCTTATGTTTAGCCATGAAAAAATTAGCGTTTCCGCTCAGCAGAGTGTAATGAGGGAGCGAACCTTCCTTCAATTTACTCACGAAAAGCATAAGCACTCTATGTCATGGCACATCCGTACGCACTTCCGCTGGTATTCATTCTTTCTTGCAAACCTATTCTCTTTTAGAGGGGGTACGGTAGTTCAATGTTCTGTGTCAAGCGCTATTCGTAAGTTTAATCTAATGCTCAAATTCTCATCATTCAAGCACCCATTGACAGAGGTTATTTACACCCTCAGACGAGATCGCGACCATGCTTCTCACCTTCAATACTCGTACCTCATCGATTACTTACGTACATACTTGAAGAAGCTGAGAGGATCTGGAACCTTCTGCATACAATCCTTGAGATTTGTTTCGCTGACCCTCCGGAAATCATCTACCAATACTTCTTCTAGGACAAGTTTAGCAGGACTGACACTAGCTCTATTCAAGCCCGTATCTCAAATACATTTGTGCAACTTTCTGAGTTACTATATGACATCCTGCTTGCACTCTCAAACTAAACGTCTTCTTTCTACTCTTCTCAACTCCAACATTTTCTCTACACGAGCTTTTCCTAATGCGTATAGTCAAGATTTTTCGGATTTTGGGCATTTTTTGTAAATTTTTATACTACTTACACTTGAGTACTACTGCAGAAAGTGACGCAGGCCCAAAATGGAAGAATACTAATTCATCTTGAATTTCTTTTGAAACATATGCCAACGAAAGAAAAAGTTATGACAGTTGGGAGTCGTTCAACAATGCTAAACAAGAACAGAACCGTACAATGCTGTCGCCTATCGCGCTCATGCTTGACACTCCTAAACGCAGAGGGACTAACGTTTCCAAAGTTGTTTACATCGAGACTTTCAATCAGATTGGCTATTTTCAAAGCTTTTTGGGCAACATTATTGTTTCAAAAAGATGCTGCCTTTCAAAGGTTCAGTTGTCTTTATCTATTCAAATCTTACGAGTATATCCCAAAAGAAAATGCTCTGCCGTCGCATTTCATCAATATTTGCCACCTACACTGACATTTGGCAGAATCTGTAATCATAGCTCAAAGCTCAATGCTGGTGCCGGACGCTTGCAGGTTTTTTGCATATTACACTCTCAGTGAAGTGTGCCTTCGTTGATTTCATCCAGCTATTTTTCCCAAGATCTGCACCTTTCGGAATGAGCTTGGATGATTTTGTTCAATGAATAAAGTCGTACTCTACTTTGATCGAGGAAGTAACACACTCTTTTCGACATTTGCTTTTCCACCTCTTTGTTTGCTTTGTAACTTCTCTGTTATTGATTCCACCCCTCACCAGGGCCTTACATCATTTATCTTTTCTACAGTGCTGGACATAATTATAAAGATACTCTAGAAATCGTTGCAGTTTGCAATGTTGTTGATGAATTTGTCCGCGATTTTGCTGTATAGTGCGCATGTCAGCCTACCATGACTCCTCAAAACGGCTTCCATTCTTGTTGAGTTCGAACAAAGAAAGTTGGAAAAATTTGAAAAAAAAAACCCTACAAGCTGGACAAAGCTAGCCACATGGTTTTTTCAAACACGATCGCATCCCTTGGCTCTAAAATTTTTTGTACAGTTACATACTAAAATATGGAACATTTGCAATCTGTCATCCTTTCAAAGAGCAAAGATCACTGCATTTGTCGCATTCAAAAACATCAAAAGTGAATGTGCTTCAACAAGCAGCTGGATTGAAATTCAAGCTTATGTACATTTCAAACGATAGTCTTGGAATCTACTGAGCCTCTTCGATAATGAGTCGAAGAGCGCTTTTGAAACTCCGTGTAATCGCTGGTATGGATGGACAGACTCTAACCTCAGCATAGGCTTATCACTCCTTCAAACCACAAATTCAATTTTCAAGCAGCGAAAAATACTGTTATGCAGCCGTAAGACAAAAGCAGAAATTCTCGCCTAATTTGGCCACCTTATGTAAGGACTACGGCATTTTTACAGCAAGGGGAGCAAATTTTGATTTGCTTTGAATCGTACTGGGGCTTGGTCTACATAGGGGGTTACTCGACATGCTGACTATGCAAAGGTATACCCTATTATTATAGTAGCCAATAAATACAAAGAAAAATCAATTCGTCATGATAGGACCTCATAGGATTAGGGTATGATTTCATCTAAGCAATAAATGAATTTTACGTTCGTGTTCAGCAGTTAAATCACTGTGCGAAATCTTGGTAGGCTCTTTGCTATCGCAGCTCAGTCATTTCTTCTGCAAGTTTAACGCATCTACTTGTTCAGCTTCTCAAAGGCGTCAGATCTTGATTCGCTTTCAAATTCCTTTTTCTCGTTGCTGAGCTTACTCAATCAACCTCCAGCAGCAAACTGCTTACAGTTCCATTCTTGATTTGTCTGTTCGTCTCATACCTTGTGTGCCAACCAAATCAATCGTATTAATGTTCTACTTCAACACCAATAAATTAAAAATAAATTAAATTCAGTCGTTTTGTGCTTTTCACTTCTCTCTAATTAGTCTAGAAAATCCGAAATGCTGCAGTGCAAGTAGGCTACTGTCTCCCTTCATACAAAGGTGAGGAGTTACTAATAACGGCGACAAAATGTTCATACTACAGCCGGGAAGCTTGCGGCTTATGAGAATGGAAACCGTGACAATTTTTTAAAATTAGTTGGGACCTTTCAGCTGAATACAGCTTATGGACCCCCACCCTTTCCACGCATAATTTTTTTTCAAGATTTTTAAAAATCGTATCTGCACTTCAAGTTTTCATGCAAGCACAGAACGATTCTGCATTCTTTTCTCTAAGCTTTTATCCTCAGAAGATTTTCATAAGTGACGCAATCTGCTCTCAATCATAAGGCACGCTGCCCAGCGAACCAATGCGCAGATCTTTCATTTTCTTCGGTATGTTCTTATGCTAGCCTTTCTTACTTCAATTTCGGCTGTCTCTGCTTTCGTATCTATTCTAACTTTCTTTTCAAGGACAATGCTTAGAAGGTAGGAAGACGGGAAGGAAGTGGAGGGTGAGGGAGAGGGAGGCGGAGCGGAGGTGAAGGTGCCGCACCTGTAGGTTTCCAGATCCAGCCGTGAAGTAAAACGCGTTCAATGAATGCCGCAGAGGGTAATAAACCTTTTTCAGCATACGTGTGGACTAAGGTACAATGAGGGGTTTCCGTCCTTTTCCTTTCAAGGGTAAAGCGATTGGCCAAACATAACAGAAAAACAGTAAGAAGTAGCGAGTGAAGCATGTACAATTTGTAGGCAAGCAAAAACAAACATCTGTTTGGATTCTCTTCTGAATCTTCATTAAAATGGATTTACGATATGAGACGATTGTGATCGAGCAATCATTCTCCCAATGTTTTCTTTGGCATCATCTGCCACAGGCAGTTGGTAATCGCATTCCCGGAAAGTTTTGCTCCTGTGTTGACTTCACTATCACACAAGCGCATTTGGCGTGAAGGTAAACATTGGCCATGCGGCGTTTTCTTCACAAAAAATTGTTTCACTGAGGAGATTAATGCAAAAAAAATCTTTTTTATTATATTCCACTTTACTTTCGATAAGTTTTCTTCCCTTTTTTCATTTATGGTGAAACGAACTCTTGAAAAATGACTTGACAAGCTTCTGTACGCATGCCCATTCCGTGCAATTTTGTGAGGAAATCTAAATAAGCTTATTCGAAAAAACTCCCAAAAATTCTGTTGATTCTCTATATGATGGTGCTTGAGCTTTATTTCCCACTTCCACTTTTCCTATTTATAGTCGAAAATTTTGGTACGAAGACACCAGACAAGAAGTCGATACGCAGCTCAACAGTCCTCAGTATCGTCAGCTCTTTTGTACCTTCAGATTCGAATGCCCTAGCCAAGCAATTTTTTACAAAGCATGAAACTGCAGAGGAGAGTAAGGCAAATCGTTCAGCGGGATTGTTTCTTCACCGTAAACCTTTTTGACTGTACTTGTAATGGCGATGTTCGGATCTCCGCCCAACACGCAAGAAAAAAACTTTGGTCATCCTCTATGTATTACTAGGTAATTTGCAGATCTTGCTGTAATGCAGCTATCAGAAATACGCTATGTACTACCATAGTGTAAACAGCTCTACAAAGTCTTCTTAACAACATTAGCATTAGCGTAAATGACCTTCTGCAAATTCATCCATCTCGTAAGCTCCACTACACGCCAAAAAACCTTTATTACATCGCGCAAAAAGGCTTTTTATCACGTTACGCTAATACTCGCATCCTTTATAACCAATTTTCTGCATCCATTTGTTCGAATGTTAGCAAGGAGTACTCCACAATCCGCCTAGCTTCCTTAACTTTCTCACAAGCAAGTTTGAGTCTTTTCAAAAGTAAATAAATTTGCAAATTGTTTTGAGTTGGAGTTGAATTTTCCTATTCCCGCATTCTATACCATATGTTTCGCGGAGAGGTAGTTAGCCTGACTGGCCGCTCTCAAGCTCTGCTCTCAGATTATTGCTTATTTTCACACAATCTTCGAGGCTTGAGTTCTCCATTCAGCCCCCTATAAAATTTATTTGCAATATCGCTAGGATGGTTGATCCGTCGAATCTCGCTGCTTCTGTAAGTTACTGCTTGTTTTTTTGAAAAGTTTCTAAAGTGGAAGTCATCAGTGCTCATTTCCATCCGACTACAAGGCTAACTCAATTTCATAAATTAAAACACTTCTGTATAGTAAACAGGTGGGCAGTTGAAAGCAAAGCTATTAGTACAGTGGACAACTTGTATAGGTTCTCAAAATAATTTTGTGTCGAGATTTTAACAAAAACAACATAGTATATTCAAGGCTCAAGTGCGAGCTCTGACCGGTGCTAGATTGAATATCCCCGGTTCCTTTCTATTTTCTTCTACTCCTACTCCCCTCCCCTCCACTCCTCCCCCTCGTTCTCCTAATTGTACAATTCTCACTTCGTGGCTTTGGTCATAACCAGAGACCTCTGTAGAACCTTTTTTTGATGCGTGGTCAGCTATAGAACTAAGAGTTGAATCAAAAACGCTTATCACAAGTATTATGTTGAGGCCCAAGACATACCTCCAGCGAATTGAATTGCCGAAGCTTCCGCTCTAGCTGTTACATATACACTTCATGAAACTCTCAATCTATAGGTTTAGAAAAACCATTTCGTTTTTCTCACGTGCAAACAGTCATACGTGGTTTTTTTTGTAGTATAAACTCGCATGATCTCTGCCGTGGATTGAACCACTTTCACTGATTTGCTTTTCATTGCAGTTTGAAACAGGAATGTGTATCTAAATTAGGACTAAATTAAGTTATTAGTTTAGAAAGAAAAGAATGTCGCTTTCTTGGTTTTTTTTCAGCTAAATTTAATATTTCTCAAAAACTAGGGCATGTCCGATGCCCAAATTTTATGGTTTGGGTCCCGAAGGTTTGTCCTGGTAGCGCTTTCTTTGCCCTATCAAACGGTATCCCTCATATAGTTTTTGGATTCGTCTCATTACTTTGCTATGGAAAACGACATTTTTTTCTTACCAACATAATACAATCTCCCAGAATTCTGGTCAATTGGCAAAGCCATATACTACGTTAATGAAGAGAGCATTGAGCCTTCAATTGCTGGGAACAATAATTCAATTCAACAAAACACTTTCGTTGGCAGTTGCTTCGCAATGGCGGTGTTATGAATGAAAATTACCACGAAGTAATCTTGCTAGTGGTTCTCAGTATGCAAAATCTCATCTTTTCTGTAAATTTTTTTTTGTTTTTTTTTGTTGGAAGTTTATCATAGTAATGTAGTCATCATCAGCAGCAACTTTTTATATTGATCCGGTCTCAATCGTGCTATACCTATGCTGATAATGACCACTGTTTTTTTACCAAGACCGCTAAAAGTTTCATACGTTTGAATAAGCAACAATAAACAAGTCGATAATTTTAAACGATCTTGTGCAACTCGCTGAATCGTGTCGCTACGATGGCCTCCACAAACATGGAACATTCAGAAAATGTCTTTTGATCTGGAGAGCTGTGAACGCTCATCATCATCTTGTTCTATTGAGGACAAACTCCCGACTACTAACAATTTGATACGAGGCAAAGATGGGCAATATGCCGTTGGCCATAAACTGGCACAGGGAAGATATGGGGCAGTTTTTGAGGTAAGCGCAAAAACGTACACCTGCCAGATGCGGAACTTGTGATTGAATTTCAGGTGCTTCGCAAATCTGACGGAAAAGCATTTGCTTGCAAGTTGGAAATCTGTGGCCCTAATTCTCATGGTCTTGACATGGATTACGTTGTCATGAACCACGCTGACAAAAAAGGTTCTTTCCAAATCATTATCTAAATTGCTAACTTGAAAAAGTAAACTCTTGGTCTGTTTGGAGCCAGGAATTTCTATGTGACCTAATCCATGCCAGATTTTCAGGATGTAACCATCTGGTGCGGATGATTGATCGAGGGAAAATAGAAGACCATTTCAAATTTCTCATCATGCCTCTGGTAAGTATACCATTAGTCATATTGAAAAAAATGATTGTTAGATGATTCATATGAGCTCATGACGTCAGAGGAAGAACTCTGATTTTCTTAAGCAAAGGTAATACACTCCAGTTTCCTCCAGCTGTCCAGACATCATGCAACCTAAGGTTGCTTTCATAGTCGTGCGTGTGCTATCGGTTCCACCGTCGTGCCAGTACCGTGCCGAAGCCCGAATGAGTTTTGCATTCGACCTGCTGGCACAGATCCGGCAGTAGGCTAGCAAATCGCTGGAACGGCGTGGGCAGATGAATTTGGACGCAGTTCGAAGTAGAAAAGCCAATTTCAGTTTGTTGTTCGAGGAAACGGCTTAAGACATGCAGAGCACCTGGTTTATAGGTTTTAAAAATTTCATAGACAAGTTTGCTAGAAGAAAGATGGTTCATTTCCGTGAAACGACCTCAAACATTTATGCATGTAGTATAAATCGCCTAGCTGCAAGAAACTGTTTTTTTCAGCTAGGCGATAATCTCACAAAAGTACGACATCAATTCGTAGACGGACGTTTGTCGCTATCATCCGGACTGCGGCTTGCTTTCCTCGCCTTGTCTCCTATTCAAGAATTGCACAACATTGGTTTTGTTCATAGAGACATCAAGGTGAGAAAGGTTTACTTGATTTTTGCGGGCATGCCCGTTGTGTAATTCGTAATCCAGTTTCATTCAGTGCTCCAATTTCTGTCTTGCCCCACATTCCAGTCGAGGTAACACGCAGTTGATACTCATCGATTACGGCGTTTGTCGAGCTTACAAGGACAAAGCTGGAAATTTGAAACCTCCTAGAGAGGAAGTCCGATTTCGGTAAGAATCTGTTGTTTATGAAGTTGATGAACAAGTCATCACGCGAATAAGAAATTTGATGTATTAAGATTGCTTTGAACATTATGATTGAATCAGTTCAGTTGATAGAGTTTGTCGGATGGTTATCGCCTCATGCATCGATATTTCATCTTCTGCTCCATATAAGGGTGCTCATGGCCTTGAGCGGAGTTCACGCAAATTCATCACCGCGATTCTTCCAAGAAGACAAACAGTTACGAGTCCACTGCATTCCGATCATCTTACATCTCCATTGTGATAGTTAGTCACGACTGGTTGTGCTGAAGATTTTCTGTGAACTCTGCCCGAGGCCTGTAGGGCATTCATAAAATCGTAACGATAGCGATCGCTTCCAACAACCATTTTCTTATTTCTATCGCCGTTAAGGCAAGGGACATACCTCACGCGATTTCAGTCGCCACGCGATCTGGCAATTTGCCATATGTCCTCAAATTCCATACTGGAAGACCTCAAGTGCACAGCATGCATAACTTTCGTAGGTTGATAAAATGCCCCCTCTTCCGTACATTCAAAAACCCCGTAAGATGAGTTATGAACATTTGGAGTATTGCCAAATCGCGTGGCGACTGAAATCGCGTGAGGTATACCCGAGGCCTAAAACGGTTTTCTGCTTGCATATGGTAGTACCTAGACCCGAAAGTGACAAGTGACTGAGCTGAGTATTGAGGTGCTGCTCTTTTGCTAAGTGTAGTGTTTCATGCCTCTGTGGGGGCAAACCGCAATCAGATCCGTCGTCACGATTTTATGAATGTGCTATATATGCTTAGCTCTGCTGATCTGAATAATCCATGCGACTGTGTGCTTTCAACAACCAAAGAGAAAAAAACGACTTAAAAAGGCGCTTGAATGTTGAAGTTCGTCTAGGACCATGAGAGCTGGAAGGAAATTACAACAACACGCTCCTGTCATATGTTTCCAGTAAAGGGGTAGTAGATTTGAGAAAAACAGCGAAATCCAAAATCCAGATGAAATTCGGATTGCCGGAAGTTCGGCGTAAAAAGCTTTACTTCAAGCTGTGCTCTCTCCTCGGCAGGGATGTCCCCTGCGGCCCTTAAAAAGGAGGCCATGGTGGTATTAGCGCATCATATTGGGTAGATGCAAAAATGATGAGCGTTTCACTTTTTCAAGTCTCACTTTGACTTGCTATAACTTTCTAGAAAATCTACATTCAAAATTTCCAAATGCGGTAAAGACCATCAGGCAACAAGGCCTTCCCAATACATCGCACATTAAGCTATCACAGATGAGCAGAAAAATATAGATTGAAAAACAGAAAAAGTTTGTCTTGTTTGACTAGCCATAAATCCCTCTCAAAGTCTGTCAATATAATTGGTAAATTACTTTTGGAGCAACCTAAAACTTATCTTTGGTACTGCTCTTTATCAATCTTTCGCTTAGAAACTATAATGACTGAAAACTAAGATAGAAAAACTCACTAGGTTCCTGATCAGTCCAAAAGACATTCACAGAGACCAAAAGTTTTCGGAATGAGCATATAATGCTCTCCAAAATGGCAAAATTTCAGTTGAAAGGTTATTTTGGGTAGATTTCGTTTTTTAGAGGAACTGTTCGCTATGCATCACTTAATGCCCACAATGGAGAAGAGCAATCACCTCGCGATGATCTCGAGTCTTGGTTCTATATGATGATTGAGATGCTCTCTGGTAAGTAGTCTCTAACACTGATTCCTTCGGTATTCAGATTTGGCCGAATGGCTCAATAAACTGCTTAGAAAGATTGAAATAAAATGTATGCACCTAGTCAATAATCTAGTTCACGCTCATGACACTTGCAAAAAGAGCTTAAAGGCATAAATTTGAACGCAGGCCTGCGATTAGGTCTAAGTCGGGTGCGCTTTAAATACGAAAACTCGAATTTTTTCTTCTGCTCACACTGCTTAGCATGTATAAGATAGACGGAGCCCTATCACTTCCAAAACACTCAAAGTGCGGAATACTTTATAAAAACACTTCTCGGGAACAAAATACGCATAAAAGTATTTTTAAGTGAAAAAAAGCAGATAAGCATTTTATAAAGGTATGACACAGCTGAACTAAAGCCACTGCTTTGACCTACGACTATGTATATGCACAAAAGACTCTGGAAGCTGAGAATTACTTCAGCGAACAGAAATTTTAGGTGAATCTATAATTTTGGCCAACCTTCAGACCTGCTTTTTTCAAAATTTTTGATTTTTTTCCTGAATAATTAAACGAAAGCGTCCGTTCTAGTCACCGATGGAAGCTTGTTGAACACAACACCTTACTAAATTTCAGATCAATTCGTTTAGAAGCAGATGAACTACGGCAGTTTTTAGAGTGGATCTATAGTTTTGACCACTGCAGTTCCAGCACTGTATGTCTGGAAATTTGCCAATAAAATTTTTACTTATGCGTAAACTCAGACTAAATCAATTTGTTGCAGGGTATCTTCCTTGGTCTGAACTAAATCATGACGCCATAGCTGATATGCGAGCTATGAAGGAGCATGTTCGCACCGCAGAAGGAGCCGCCCTCATGTTTCAGTTTTGCCCGAAGGTACTGAAAGTTTCTAGATTTAGATTACGTGTAGATTTTCATATCTTAAGCGGATTTGTGAATCATATCTTTGAGTCCTTAGGCCTATATGAAAATGTTGCGGAATGTATGAATTTGCTTTGCTCCATCACAATTTTAGGTTGAGTTCCGACGCCTCCAAAAATATTTGGATGGGTTAAAATACAACAGCCAACCGGACTACACATTTATCTCGGAGCTGATACAGCTTGCAATGAAGAATAACGGAGTGAAAATGGACGAGCCATACGACTGGGAAGAATGAAACTTTATATAGTCGATCTTACCTGCACGCATTTGCCTTGCTCTGGTATGTGCTACCAACAGCTGACCGGTGACGAACCCGATGGTGCCTTGTTTATATGCCGCAAAATGCTATGATTGTGATGATGAGCCGATGATGTTTGCATTCAAAACTATCGCTCCAGTCTTTTTTACGGTTTGTATACATTGCTATACAACACATTTGTATAGAAATCTCTGCTATATGATATGGATGACATTGAAATGAACATTCTCAAATATCAGTTCCGCCTCAGTCAAAGACAAACATCGTACAATCATCGGATGGCTCAGATCGGAATGGTCACTCGGAGTCATTGAAGGATGAAACTATAAAGAAAAATTGGTGCCATCATTTCCAACCGCGGTTGCTTTTGAGTAAATTGCTACTTTTGAGGGTTCTTCTTGCGTATTTACGTTCGGCGATGGAGCATCGGTTTGTAAAAAAAAGAAGACGGAGGGCTGAGTTGAAAACACAGACTTCTCAAATATTTCCCAACTCCAACACACATATGGGAATCTTTAGCCGAGTCGTCTGCGCCGTTTTGATCGAAAATACTCACAACTCGCATATTTCGTAGATGTAAAGGAATGTGTTAGTCAAAGAGAAACGGAGATTGTTAGAGAAAAATGCGCATGTAGAAGAGTTGAGTCAAGCGTTTTCCACATTTTCAATTTCAGATGGGAAACAAATCGGAGATGTTGCTGATAGATACTGTACGCGGTCTATGGAAAGCCTGCTCTTACCATCGAAGTCATGCGTGGGGTGTGGCATGTCACACCTAGGGGCCGTATTGAGGTCAGGGGGGTCGTTATCAAGGTGTACTAATGTTAGCGATTATATGATATTTGCTAACTACCTCGGATAGGCCCATCATGCAAAATATAACACTAGCATCTTGATGTTTTCGCCCATCATCTATGCCTCAGTAAGCGTAATAAAAGACCTATAAAGCATAAGAGCATCTTTCGTAATTAGCATTTAAATAACCCCTTATGCCAAGTTCGCGCGAATGTTAAAGTTTCCATATATTGGGCCACTCAAATGAGATGGTCACTTTCAAACATGGTACTTTTGTTTCAAAGATAAGTTCACTACATCTTTTAAGCTTAACGCAAAGAACTACTATTTCTTTGCTCACATTAGGAATACTACTCCAAATAACCTCCAGGCTAAGACACCAAGGGCAAGCCAAATTTTCGTTTGTTCCAATTTTCGCTTTCAATATCTCAGAGTAGAGAAAACCAATCAGCCTCAAATCAATTCAGCGTAATTACCCTAAAATCCCGCCAATAAGTCCAGCCTTATCTATTTCTTTGACACAAAAAATTGATAAAAAAATCGCCATCTGCGCTGCCAAAAGTCTAGCAGATGAATCCTCCCATCAGACAGCAACAGATCTGCTAGACTTCTAGCAGCGCAGAGGGCGATTTTTTTTATTAATTTTTTGTGTGAAAAAAATAGATAAGGCCGAACTTATTGGCGGGATTTTAGGGTACGAGGCTTACAGTCGAGTAGATTTCCTGCTTAATATAGTGTCCCTGCAGACGCGACAACGCTGGGGCGTCAATAAATGCCTTGCGAGTTCCCGAGCTAGTGTTTTCCAGTGTTTTCTTTGCTTATTTCATGCTTTTCAGGTGATTCGTTACTGATAAAGAAGAAAACGGTAGGTTAGAGAGTAGTCTCTGTTTTCTGAGAAGTTCTATCATCGCATATTCACAGATATCCACGTGAGAGCATTTCGCGTCAGCTTCTTGTCTATTTCTTTTTTGTCATTTCCTTTTTTTCTTTCACTTCTTCTTTCAAACCTCCTCCTTCTTGTAAGGCGTTTATTTGAACGCTAGTTGGCTTGTCTTGCAGCAACTTCGGCTTTTATCCATAAGAAATAGCATTCTAATCAAGTACTTCATGTGATAAGGACAATAAGTCAATCGTAAAAACACACTAGCGTTCAAAGAAGTACCTCACAAGAAGAAAGAGACATGAAGTGACAAAAAAATAGACAAGAAGCTGACGCGAACTGCTTCCATGTGGATATCTCTGAATATGCGATGATAAAACTTCTCAGAAAACAGGGGCTACTCTCTAACTTACCCTTTTCTTCGTTATCAGCAACGAATCACCTGAAAAGCATGAAATAAGCAAAGAAAACACTGGAAAACACTAGCTCGGGAACTCGCAAGGCATTTATTGACGCCCCAGCGTTGTCGCGTCTGCAGGGACACTATATTAAGCAGAAAATCTACTCGACTGTAGGCTATTTAACACGCTTCGGACCGGTGCTGCACGTGGTGCAGCACGCTGTTTTGAAGGGTCTTTTTCACGTTCAGACGAGGTTTTCTTTTATTCCAGGGATTTCAAGTCAAAGGCCTAAGCTGCTACTTTTCAAATGACTTTGTAGAGTTGTGCTGCCGATATTTGTTCAGAAGATGTGAGGACAAATCGAACAACAGTTGCAACGAAGTGCGGCAACGCAACCTACGCGTGCGACGCAACTTTTCTTTGCTTCGATATCAAAGAGAATAACCATAGTTTCAATGAGGGTGTGTACCGTGGAGAACCTAGATACTTTTGGATACTATTAGAAACTGGGTTGCTGTTCCTATCTTTCAAGAAAGCATGGAAGTCCTTCTCAAGTGACAAAATCGAAACACTTCGAATTCACTCATTTAAGTATGGAACTTAAATGACACTCTGATTACATATGTAGCACACCGTCCACCAAATTAAATTTTTTTTTGTCGCCTAATGGCTGAAAGTACACTCTTTTTTCGCCGCGCGCGATTTCGCGGTACGAAACGTGTGTACATTCTTGTCGCCAACCCTCGCAACTCACGTTATAGTGCAGACTTAGCATGTTACCGTAACTTAACATTTTCGCAATATTTTCCATTGGCATAGGTAACAAAAAACGATTATATCTCTTCTTAGAAGAAACGATTTCAGATTGAACTCCTGCTTTGTAAAGAAGAAGTGCTTTGTAAAGAAGAAGGTTAACCAGTAGCAACGATATAAAAAACGCAGATATTTGAATGGTTTGGAGATAAGTTAATGGAATGTGGAAACCCTGAAAAGGTGTGGCAGCCACAGCTTTTCTGCGGTTGTGCCACGTCCCATCAACTTACTTTAACGAAAATATCAGATATCTTTATCTTTACCAGTGCGTCACCTCTGCTTCGCAGAGGCTCGCACTGGCCCTACTTTCTATATGCCTTGCTCATTCTCGCATAATAGTGACATTGAAACTTACCGCGCTATGCAGGCTATCACGAATGAATTGTAAACAACTACTCATTCCGAGAGCTTTTTTGTGTGAGATCGGTATTTTCGCATGGATGAAACTTTTCCGAGAAGGATAAATGCAAATTTGAACCGATTTTTGGACTTTTTATGGTTTGATAGTCGCTATAATGACGATGATCACCGTGGGCTACATCTCTGTGCAAAAATCTTCCCAAATGATTAGGTAAAATCTTGGCAAATTGAACATTTACGCAACTGATTTTTCTCGGCGCCATTTTTGTAAAGTAATCAACTTTAGTTCAATTTTTTGGGCTAAAGTCCATGGCTTGCACATTAGCTTGTTAATCATATCCATGACTTTGCAAAAAGTGGTGGTACAGGCCCAATTTTGCTGTTCAGAAGCCAAGCGGATCCGTTTGCAGCGCAGTTTTTGAGGGATCCAGTCAACGGATCCGCTCGTGCTTTTGCATAGCGGACTTTCATGCTGCTAGCATGCACCGTGCAAAATTTGGGCTCAAGAGGTTGGCTGGAATTCGCTCTACGAATTTCGTAACGGACAGACACACACACACACACACACACACACACACACACACACACACACACACACACACACACACACACACACACACACACACACACACACACACACACACACACACACACACACACACACACACACACACACACACACACACACACACACACACACACACACACACACACACACACACACACACACACACACACACACACACACACACACACACACACACACACACACACACACACACACACACACACAAAAACACGTAAACAACTCTTAGCCCGTTATTATAAGTTACTAGCTGGCTTACCCGACTCCGCCGTATCCGGACCAAACTTGGCACACATACACTTCGGGCCCCGGCGGGTGTCACAGTCCACTTTTCGTTATCGATCGATGTCGATTTTACCGATTTTTATCGATTTTTTGGCAGAGTTCACCTACAGGGCTAGGAGTTGGCACAGGGGGGAAGTGAGCATGGGGATTCCGAATACAATATTAGTTTTCAGAATTATCGATTGCTTTTATTGATTTTATCGATTTTTTGTAAATTTTGACATGCGAGGCTGGGATTTTGCACAGGGGGGTAATCGAGCATGCTGATCACGAACACAATATTAGTTTTCAGGATCGTCCATTACTTTTATCGATTTTATCGATTTTTTTGCAAAATTTGACCTGCGGGGCTGGGAGTTTGCACAGAGGGTAATCGAGCATGCAGATTACGAATACAATATTAGTTTTCAAGATCGTCCATTACTTTTATCGATTTTATCGATTTTTTGAAAATTTGAGCTAGGGGGCTGGAATTTGGCACAGGGGTGTTCGAGCATGCTGATCACCCCCCTTGGGGATGATCAGCATGCTCGATTACCCCCCTGTGCGAACTCCCAGCCCCGTAGCTCAAACTTTGCAAAAAAATCGATAAAATCGATAAAAGTAATCGATAATCCTGAAAACCAATATTGTATTCGGAATCCCCATGCTCGATTACCCCCCTGTGCCAACTCCCAGCCCCGTAGCTCAAACTTTGCAAAAAAATCGATAAAAATCGATAAAATCGATATCGATCGATGACGAAAAGTAGCCTATGACACCCGCCGGGGCCCGTAGTGTATGTGTGCCAAGTTTGGTCCGGATCGGTTCAGAAATGGAATTTTCTATTCGGAACATACGTACACACATACAGACAGACATACAGACAGACAGACAGACAGACAGACAAACAGACATTCAGCTTTATATATAAAATGATCTTTTATTCATACTCAACGGTTCTACATGTTAGTGATAAATACCGTGATGATTTTGTCTGAGGCTTCCGTTAATCAGTATGTGACCATATATGCATGTTCTGTTCGCCTCCATTTACGAGAATCCATAACTAGTTCTTGCCATTTACGAGCAGATTCAAAGACATTACAGTGCTTTCGTATATCG